GCATGACATCCCCTCATGGCTACCCAGAGGGCCGCAGAGTCAAAACACCAGCTAGACCCAGCAGTGCAGCCTCATCCCACACTCTGTCCCACATAGCATCCTAGACTTTGGGGAATGGGCAGTGTAGCACACAAGGAGTCTGCCCCCAGGAAGAAAGGAGCTAAAACATTCACTCCCCAGTGACTGAGAACTGCCTTTCTGGGCCACAGACAACAATCCTATTCCACCCCCAGCAGTAGGGTCACCACACACCTGCATGCACCTGTAGGTGGCCTTGGGACTAGGCCCAATGGGCACTGTCACAGTCTGAGAACAAGTATGCACTACCCACTGCTGCCGGTGCCACTGCCCAAGTTCACCATCAGGGGGCTAGGGATTAATCTATCTTACCTACCACAGCTCGTGCTCATGCACTCCATTGGGACACCTGACCCACTGCCACCAACACCCATGTACTTTGGGGTTGGAGAGTTGACCTACCCTCTCTGCCACCACAAGTGCCTGTGTATGCCACCAAGGGGCCTGAGGACAGTCCTGTCCCATCTACCAATGGTGCCCATGCATGCCATCTGGGGGCCTGAGGAAAGGCCAGCCCCACCCATGGCCACCACAGCTTGTACCTGAGCATGACTTCTAGAAGCCTGGGAATCAACCCACTGATCCACCACAGTCTGCACCCCTGCACACAATGGTCCTGGGGACAGGTCAACCCACCAGGTGCTGCCCCAGTCAATGACTTCATGTTTCATCTGGGACTGGGGGTCAACCCACCCCACTCTCTCTCACTGGCACCTACACATACCTTTTGGTGGCCTGAAGATGGCTTGCCTAGCCTTCTGTTCCCATTCATGTCATCCATGTTCCTGGGGTCAATGTGACCCAACCAGCACCACTGGCGCTTGTGCATGCTTCTCAAGAGCCTAAGGATAGGCCTGCCCAGCCTGCCCCCACCACTGCTTCCAGCATTCACCCACATGCACCACGTGAGGGCCTGGAAATTGCTCTGCTTAGCACACTACTGACAACATTGCTGTCAGAATATGGCATCCTGGGGTTACAAGGCCTGGTTCACAACTACTGCTATTACTGATACCACACTCACTACCCAGGTATATGAGACCCACTCTTCTTACTGGCCTTCTACTGGCCAGCACCTAAGGAAGCCACCTGGAGGCCCAAGGATCAACTTTCCCAAATCCTCTACCACTAGTGCCCATGTCCATCACCTAGGGATGCAAAGACCAACATGACTGATCCACAACAATCACCACTAGTGCCTGAGGACTAACCTCCTCAGAGTTACCCTTCCCAGCAACATCTCATCACAGCCTCCACTAACAACTGCAGACTAAGCCACTTAGGAACTCATAGACACCACTGATGATGATTATAGCTGAATAAATCATACAGAGGCTTCACTACATCACCAACCCAGAATTAAAGCCAACTGCCTTACCCAACCAACATTATAGTTACAGCCACAGGAAAAAAGTTGTTCACTGCAAAAGCCAATCCATAAAATTAGAATAAATGACTGTTATACAAGATGCACAGATATCAATGTAAGGACACGAGAAACATTTTTAAAAACAAGGAAACATGACACCTCCAAAGAAACACAATATTTATTCACCAACAGATTCCAACAAAGAAAGAAGTCTATTAAATGAGTGACAAAGAATTCAAAATAATGATATTAAAGAAGCCAAATGGATACAAAAGAATATAGGATAAGCAATACAAATAAATCAGATTGACAATTAATGGTCTGGATGAGAACTTCAATTGAGATAAATATCATAAATGAGAAATAAATAGAAATGCTAAAACTTAAGAATTAAATAAATGAAACAAAAAATACAATTGAGATCCTCAACAATAGTCTATATGAAACAGAAGAATTTCTAAACATGAAGATGGGTCTTTTAAAATAAACCAGTCAGGCTGGGCAGGGTGGCTCACACCTGTATTCCAGGCTGAGACAAGAAGATCACTTGAGACTAGGAGTTTGAAATCAGTCTAGGCAACATACCAAGATGTTGGGAGCCAACATCTATAGCTACATGGCTGAGGCCTGTAAAGGCCCATCTGGAAGATTGCCTCTGACATACGATATCAGTTATACCTATAATATTGGTGTGTGATTAGTGACCAGTGTGCATACATGGCAGTAAAATAAGTAAATATCAATATGCCTGATGGAGAGTGCACAGCAGAATTATTTTTCTCTGTCTTTCTAAGTTTTACTTCTTTCTAGATATTTTTTAACTTCTATTTCCTGGTAGACTGGTTAGTTAGCTCTTGTTCCCAAAGGCAGGTTTCTCCTAGGATTAAGCATAGAAACTAAATTACCATAATAGTTTTATTGCCCTGCCTCTAGTCAGGCAGGACATTTTTCTAGTTTCGTTACATGCCGAAACTCTGTTTGCTTCAGCCCGTGGCCATTGTCATGGTAACCGTGCAGTCCATTATCCAAGAGTGTGACAGCTACTATTTGATTTTTAGAATAGACTTGTTTGGATAAACCATACATTTAAGACGATACAATTTCCATCGAAAAGATTTAAACAGTAATAAGCATTCATAGAAAACTTTTAAGTTTTGTTTAAGCTTTTAAGTTCCCTTTCTTCAGATTATGACTTTAGTTCCTGTTCCTGTAGGCCAATTTTAAGATCCTTTGATTAGTATACCGAAACTTTCCCAATGGTGTTGTTTTTGCTTCTAATATGACAATAGGAAATTTTACACGTAGCCATGTATTAATATACTAGGAAAAAAGATTTAAGTTTTGGGTTAAAGTCATAGTTTTATTAGAATAGAATGAGAATTATGGTGTTATGATTTTTAAAATCATACGTTAATGATAATTATAAGATTTAATGATAAGGTATTAGCTTAATAGGATATAGCATAGTATTAAAGGCCAATCATTAGATTATATAAAAATTAAAGTTTAGACATAGGAAATTCACTTAAGTCATGGTTAGGTTTTATAGTTTAAGAATAAGTTTTAATTGTTATAGAATTACAGGACACTACGTTGAATCATAATAGGTTAATAGAATAACTAAGTCATTTAAGTAAACTTATAGATTATAGTATAATGTTAAGTTGATAATATTAATTGTTAAAAATATTAGGAGTCAGTAAACTTGGATTTAACTTAGAAAAGTTCTTGTATTAATCAGGGTTTAGAACAAAGAGTATAATATGAATGATTTATTGAACGCTATGGAAGACATTTTAAACGAACTGTATTGAAATTGTGCACCTGTGACCTTGATGTGAGTTTTGTGAAGCACGTCAGACATCATGGAGTTCAAATTGTTTGCTCGAAACTTGCAAGTCTCGTGATGGTCTTGTGATGCATGGTTTGTAAAGCACAGAACTTGTACGCCCCTAGCAAGTGATTATCACACTGCTGGAAGGTACAGAAAATGCTATATAAGTTGGAAAAGGTTTGAATAAAATTGGCTTCAGTCCTGATCAGACTGTTCCCAGAAGAACTGCCTCCGAGTGGTCTCTTCTCGCCATCCAGATTCTCCAGTGCGGGTCCTAACCCACCCTTGGTCAGTGCTGGTCACCGACACCAAGAGCCTGTCTCTACAAAAAAAACTTTTCTAAAAATCATATCTCCTAACACATAGAATCAGATTTTATCCTGCCAAGGCACTTACATGCAAAAAATATCTACTATTGTCAGGAGTGGGGGATATAATAGTGAATAATTTCTTACCCTATTAGTGTTTATAAACTACTAATGAGTGCTATTTATTAAAGTTTGAGGTTGAATCTATAAATGAGATTGACCTTTTAAAATTTGTTTTGCTTTTAAATTTTGAATATCTTGTATTATGAGCAGTTTAAGACCAATGTGATACAATATGACCTTTTGGTAGACAGTCTAATTTATAAAGTAAGTAAAAGTAAACTTAGTTTTTCCCATTGAATAAATATCATTAAAAATTGAGAGTCTATAATATGCAGTACCTGCACTATGTACAATGATACATATTAACCTTCAAAAATAATTTTAAGTGATCATTAGGTTTATACCTAAAGTTTAATGTTGACCTTCAAAATTTGCAGTTAGATTCCAATGTTGTCTTTTTTCCTTTGAAACTGTCCTGATGATCCTATGCTAGACCTCCCATTTTTTGATGAAGAAAATAAGCATTTCTTGTCATTATAAGTTTAAGTTTCCCACACAAACCAAATTGAAAAGAAACTGAAAAGAAAATCAGGCTATGATATTTTTTTATTTTATTTATCTCGTGGTTTTAAAAATTTTAGATTCAGGTGGTGTATGTTCAGTTTACATGGATGCATTGTGTAATGCTGTCTCTCATGATTCTTTAGGCCTCCTTGTTTGGGCTCTGTATTGAAGTAACTTTAAATGTTTCATTTCTGATCATTGTGATAATTGTTCAAGGTCCACTTATGAGTAATAACATACGGTATTCTATTTTTTGTCACATCCTTGGGGAATGAAAAGAAATGTCACCTACATCAATGCTGGAGGGAACACCTTCTTCTTGGGAAACCAAGGGGAGCATTCTGGCAGTGCCCAAGACAAGGCAAGGGAGTGGGCTCCAGAGGATGTCCATGGTTAGCAGATGACACAGGGGCAGGACTCCCACTCAATGATACACATTTTTTAAAAACCACATTAAAGAACACTTTGAGCCACAGGCCTGCATTCCTCCCAAGCACCTGCCTTCCTCCCTTCACAATGGGGATGGGGGATGGGAGTTAGATTCTCCAGAAGGCTCTGGAAACTATAGCAGGTTGCCGATGGATCTCACACACCCCTGTCCCATCTGGAATCCTAGCCCAGGCCCCTGTTCCTAGCCTACAGCACACAGAGACTCTTTGGTTATCTTGGCACCAATTAGGCCTCAGAGACACAGGCCAGAAATACTTTTTATTAAAACACTGATCATTATTAAAACACCTTGAGGGCACCTGGCCTGCCACTGCTCTCCCGCTGAACACCCCGCTGAACGCCCGGCTTGAATGCCCTGCTCGGACCGCCATGCTGGTGGACCTCAGCAAGTGGTCCGGGCCCTTGAGCCTGCAGGAAGTGGACGAGAAGCCGCGGCACCCGCTGCAGGTCACCTACGGCGGAGCCGCGGTGGACGAGCTGGGCAAAGTGCTGACGCCCACCCAGGTTAAGGATAGACCCACCGTTTCATGGGATGGTCTAGATCCAGGTAAACTCTACACCTTGGTTCTGACAGACCCAGATGCTCCCAGCAGGAAGGACCCCAAATACAGAGAATGGCATCATTTTCTGGTGGTCAACATGCAGGACAATGACATCAGCAAAGAAAAGCCTGCTTGGGAAAAGCTTTCTGCTTGGTTATCTGTTGTCTTGAGCTGGAGCTCTGAGTGTGTCCTGCTTCCCGTTTTCCCTTCTTCCCCTCTTGGTCCCAATAAGATGATGTTCCCCTTGAGGGACTGTAGCCTCTCAGAGGTGAAGGACTGGAGAAAGGATGGAATCAGGAATGCAGACTCACAGGCAGACCCCAGTTCCATGGAATCAGAGACTCTGGGATGGGCCTCACCTTTGGGGTTTGACCAAGCCCTCCACAGGGTTCCAATGCCCACTTATCTGTGAGAAACACTGCTCTGGACCAGGGATGCTGATCACATCTGGTCTCCTGCTCCACCACGCCAAGGCAGGCACGAAGGCATGTCAGTGGGGCTGGATTGAAGTCAGGTGTTTTGTTTTTGTTTTGAGATGAGGTCTCACTCTGTCACCCAGGCTGGAGTGCAGTGGTGCAGTCATAATTCACTGCAGTCTCAAACTCCTGTGCTCAAGTGATCCTCCCAACTCAGCTTCTTAAGTAGCTAGGACTACAGGTATGTGCCACCATGCCCAGCTAATTTTGTAAGTTTTTTGTAGAGAAGGGGTTTTACTTTGTTGCTCAGGCTGGTCTTGAACTCCAGGCCGCAAGTGATCCTCTGCCTTGACCTCCCAAAGTGCTGGGATTACAAGCAAGATCCACTGTGCCTAGCCTTGGAGTCATTTTTAACCTGACACCCAGGAGCCTGTATGCACACTGCAGTGTGAGAACTGCTGCTCTCTACACTCTTATCCACTCACCAGACACCTCAGAGCTCCCACTTGGGTTGGGCTAGATACTGCAAGGCAAGTTGCCCAGGCAGAGTTTACAACAGCCTGAACTCTGGGTGGGAGGCCATGGGATCTGTTCCCACCATCACTTTCTGTGTGTCCAGACCAGGAACCTGGAGCAACCTTTCTGTTTCCATGTGCTCCACAATCTCCTTGTATCTGTGAGCCTATCCCTTGCTGAGTGTTGTCAAGCCACCTCCCACTTAATCCTCACCACCTGCCTAAAAGGCAGCCCAGGTCACCCCCACCCCACAGCTGAGGAAATGGCTAAGAGAAAGAAGGGAAGATGGTCACATGGCCACTGAAAGGAAGAGCTGGTTGGAAGATTCTAGAGTCCTCTTGCTTAATCACCCTCCAAACTACAGCTGTCCTTCTCAATAAATGGTTTGGGACAATTAGTGGACCATTTGGAAAAACAGAAAAAGATGAACACTAAGTACTTCACACATCATAAACAAATTATTCAGAGAGATTAATCTTTTTCTTTTTAAAGATACCATAAGAATAGTAGAAGAAAGTATAGAAGACACATTTCTACAACCCTGGAGCAGAGAAAGACATTGTGAACATAATAGAAACCATACAGAAAAAATGTGATACATTTGATGACAAAAATTTATAAACTTGTGCATGACAAAAGGCTTCATCTACAGGGGAAATATAAAGAGACAGAGAAAAACATCCCTTAATTAAAAGAAAAAGTTGAAGCCAGGCTGGGTGGCTCAGCCTGTAATCCCATGCCTTTGGGAAGCTGAGGTGAGTGGATTGTCTGAGCCCACAGGTTCAAGACCCACCTGGGCAGTGAGACCTCATCTCTACAATAAATAAAAAAATCAGCCGGGCGTGGTAGTGCATGCCTATAATTCCAGCTACTCAGAAGGCTGAGGCGGAAGGATCGCCAGAACCCAGCAGGCAAGGCTGCGGTGGCCGGAAGTGGCCACTGCACTCCAGTCTGGGTGACCGAGTAAGACTCCAACTCAAAAAAAAAAAGAAAGAAAGAAAAAGAAAAAGTTGTGCCCTCACACATTCATGCTAATGCTTGAGTAATATTGCTCTTAAATATTGTACCATGTCTCTAACAAATGTTTTTTCTTATAAAGCTACAAAAAAGAAACTCCCAAAACAAAAACATGGCAAGAGAAAATATAAACCAAAAATAGACCTTCAAATGCACAATAAACATGTGAAAAGG